CTATAAATCATAGATGGATTTCGTATGAAGAAAAATCAAGCTTTTGGTCTCCCTCAGTCCTCTCTCAAAATTTTCTCTAATTTTTTCTTGAGGAAGAAGAAATTTGTGAAGAGGAATAAGGGGAAGGGGGTTTAAATAGTCTTCCCGAACGCATGTGATCCGTTGGATCACATGAAATCAATGGTGGCTATTGATTCATCAAGTGGCTGATTAGCCATCTCAGATGGCGTGCATGAGTGCCAGGTGGCAGCCATGCACAACCGGTAGCGGGTTGACAGGACGGACGGGACAACCAGTCCATTAAGGGTCAAGCAAGGGTCTGCATGCTGCAGGCAAATGTGCGCCTAGGCCTGATGCGAAAGCCTACGTAGGCGCATAGGCATGCGTGAACGTGATTGTTCATGGTGGGACGTCTTCGCGTGCGCAACAGGCACGTAGGCGCGACCTTTCCCACTGGTTCACGGGTCCTTTTCCTCCGTTTTTCCATTTTTATTTTACTTTTTATTCTTTTTGAAAATTTTTAAATTACTTTGGCCAAAAACAAAAATTTAAAATAACTATAAAACCATGCATAACACAATTTAAATATCGATTAAAATTTAAACACAATAAATTACTCAAAATAAGAAAATTTTAAAATGCGGTATCAAATATAAAGGTTATGTGGTGTTACAAAACTGCTCTTAAAAAGGTTCTCTTCGAGAAAAACCAGAGAGAGAAAGAGAGAAAACAGAGAGCTAGAGAGAAAAACCAGTGAGCTCGAGAGGAAGAGAGTGACCTGTGTGTGTAAGGCTTGTGTGAGTTGGTACTGCGACGTCTTTCCTCCTTCGAAAGGTAAGCTTTTTCCTCTATCTTCTACTTCATTTTCATATTCATTTGGTATTCTTCTTTCCACTTACAACTAACCCAAACAGAAAGCACAATAGCTTTAATCAAAGCTTTATTTTCTGCAAATCAGAGTCTTCGGACTCCACAGGTAACATTCAGTTTTTCCTTTCTTTTTCCGCTTTCTTTTCTGTTTCCTTTTGATTTCTAGAATAGAAATAAGTAAGCTTAAACCTTTAGGATCACTTAAACTGAACCCAAACGGTGGAATTACTCAAGAGATTAGCGAGTTTGTGTTATTCTACTACTAATGCTGCAAGTGCTGTCCAGGTTATTTGCAGGTTGTATTCTTCGCTCAGGAACTTGTTTTCTTGAGCATTTGGACTTCAATTAAGGTCGACAGTAAGGTAAGAATAGGGGTAATCTATTGTATATAAATATTGAATTTCTAGATGCATTTAATCGGTAAAATTCATTGCAAAGCTGTTCATATATGCTGTTTTAAGTTGAAGTGAATGTTTGCATATGTTCATGCATGTTGTGATGTTTAAATTGTAATTTGGTTGATAAATGATGTGTATTTGGGTTTATGGATGATTGATGATATGTTAAAATGGTTTACAGAAGGAAGGAATTGAAGAAAAATGCGAGGCAACGACGGGAGAGGCCAAATTGCTTCTGCCCATATCTACCAGGTGCCAAAACATAGGGAAAATGGGCTGACACGGCTATGTCATGTGCGATGTGAGTGCGGAATATTGTCCAGGTGCCCAAAAGCGCTGGGATAGGGCACCCTAATACACTGCGTACGTGTAGTATGCACGAAGATGTGTGGCTTTGCCAGCAGCCCATGTGTGTTGTAAGAGCCTGGGACAGGCATTGCTTCTGTCGCGTGAGGTTGTGCACACAAATGCGCGCAGGATTTGTGTATGGGCATCTAAAAGTGCTGGGACAATGGTCCCTCTGGCATGTTGTTATGTGTAGCAAGCCCTAATATGATATCTTGTAGCTCTAAATCCATGTCAGAAGCGGAGTTCCAAAGTGAGAGGGAATCCCACAAGAAGCAGCCAACTTGCAAGTCAATTGCCCACAAACATATAGACCTGTCCACGAGAAAACCCGCAAGCGGGGCACATGCCGCACACGCCTGCGCACTTGCCCACAAGCTTGTAGACTTGAGATCAAGTGGGTTGAGCCTTCTTGAAGCCTAAACCGGCCTAAGCGGTCCAAGGCCAAAACTCGAAAGCCCACAGCTCATGTAACCAAAAGACTGCCCAAAAAGAGCTTGGAGAGCCCAACCTGAGAGGATAAAAGGGCCTTGAGCTCGAGGTCTACCTTGGGAAGGCCAAAGAGCGGCTTGACCGCTGCCCAAGAAGGCAAAAAACTAGCCAAGCCTGTTTTTGCCACTAATTAGCCAAGGCCGAGACTCATTAAGAGAAAAACGGCTTGGCCACAAGAGGAGGTTGATCATCTTTGAATCCGATGAGGAGAGCAGCAAGCTGGTTTCAAAAAGGAAAAAGAAGAAAAAGACTCCTTGAAGCAATTGGTCAAGGAATTCCTAATTCTTGTTGAATTCAAACGTATGGAAAGAGAAGGAAGATGATTTCTACCTACATGAGGAGATCCTTCTCCTACCTTCATTACAAGTCCAACAACAAGAAGATTCCACATCTCTGTCGAAGAATACATGCTATAAAAAGAAGAGTTCAAGTTATAAACCATCAACCAAGGCGATGAAGCAAGCATTCAACATGAAAAAAAACCCGAAAGCATTATGAAATCAGCCTAGAAGGAATTCCACATGTTGTAGACCTCTTGAAGAATCCTACATAAAATCTAGGTGATTTACAACAAGACTCTTATTCAAAAATCATCAAGAACAAGAGAAAAATGGAAAGTCAACTTCAACTGTAAGGAGGAGTTTTATTATTTTAGTTGTTTTATTTCTTTGAATTATCCTATTAGATAAAGTATGATTATTTTGATTTAAATGTATTTGTTCTCTAATTAAATTAAATCTTAGAATTTGGATAGGAATTTTAAATCTTATTCTGAATAGAATTAGAAAATAAAAGTTTATATAAAAGTTTAAGCTTTTACTTTATAATCATATACTTTTGAGATTAATAAAATTAAGGGTTGTACTTTCTTCAAGAATTATCTTTGGCTAATGTTTTTAATGTCTTCAAGTTCTTTGAAGTTAAAGACCTTTTCGAAGTCTTATTAAGCCGAGAGTCGAAACGATCCTTCCCATACCCTCTCGTGTTAGGTGGTATCAGAGCATGGTGTTACTTATATCAGGTCCTGTGGGTTGTGCGGCTCTGCTAGCGCCAGTCACCAAGAGAACCAAGCTGGGATAGGCACCTTTGTGTTGTGCGAGCGCGCAGGGAAAAATCCCCATTCTGCAGGCTGTAATCTAACTACTTCTCAGATTAAACTAAGGAAAAAAAAATTGAAAAAATAAAGCTTAATGGAACTTTGGATAAGACTGAGCAAAAAATGAGGTTAAGAGAATAAAATGTTTTGTTGGAAATAAATTAAATTAAGGGATTAAAATAAATAAAGATTTTAAAGAAAATTGAGCTAAAATAGGAATTAAATAATTGAGGCATTTTATTTAGAAACAAATAAAAAACTAAAGAATTGATTTGAGCAATGAAAGGAGCTTAATTGAAAGATTAAATGGATAGTTAAAAGAAATCACATAAATAATATTTTCCTAAGGGAAAATTTTGGAAAATAAGTTAAAAAGATAGTGGGAAAAGGGAAAGTAGATTAAGTTTAAGTCAGTTTAAATTGGTAAGAATAATGGAAATTTATGAGTCAATAAAACTTAATAAATCAAGAGTCATGGTAAATCCGTTTACCTATTTCCTTACAGGAGATACTGTATTGATTGTCAGTGACTGTTGGTGAACCCTTATGAATGGGTACTAGTGCCCAACTTTGACGATAGTTGGGTCGATGATTGATTATAGTAAAGTACTGTTTTGATTGTAGAATATGGTTACTATTATTGATGTTGATTATTGATCCCATTCATAATTGTAGTTGGGGATCTGTTCTTCCCTTCCTAGTATAGGTGAAATAGTTTCGTGCGAAATTATGTAATCAGTGAAACCTAAATTAGGATAATAACATGTAATAAAACTTTAAAGAATGTTTGAGTCATGAATGATAGTGATTAATAGTGAACAGATATAATGTTGTTAGTGAATGAAATTAATTGATTGATACGGAACATAAATGATTGTACTGTGAACAGTGGATATGAGTAAAAAAGAGAAATGAAATCAAATGAAGAATGTATAGTTTTATTGATTTTTCGAATTTAAATCATAGTTTTAAATGATTATAAAATATTTTCTCATTGATTGCATTAGTAGTCTATGTCAAAGAAAAGAAGAAAAATGAATTTCAGGATCTTCATTAGGGCAACTTGTCTGTAAGTCACTATGCCTCTAAATTTATTCAGCTGTCCAGATTTGTGCCTGAGCTCATTTCCACTTGAAGCAAAAAGGCATGGAGGTTTCTGAAGGGTTTGAGAGTTGATATATGTGACAGAGCAGCCATGTTTCGGCCTACCATCAATGTAGAGGTATTAGACAGTGCCCAATTGGCTGAGGAGTTACTTATAGCCAACTATAGACAAGTTAGCAATTTTAGGGCTACTAACAATCTGAAAAGGAAATAACCAGAGCAAGGTCATGTTGACAAATGACCTAGAGTACATCTTAGTGCTTTACCCCTAGGTAACACTTCTGCTCCTAGCCAGGTGTATAAATATTATGGGAAGAACCATTGTAACCGCCCTTGCTACAAGGTGAACAACACTTATTACAAGTGTGGTAGTACGTAACATTATGTTCGAGATTGTTCCCAGAGGTTGAAAGATGACAAACCAGTGACCGGGCGACTTGTGTACAACCTCAATGAGCTAGATGCTGAGGCAACACTAGCTATCATTCAAGGTACACTTTTTATATCCGATTCTATAAAACGTGTCTTGATTGATTTTTATGCACACATTCATTTATTTATCATAATTTTACTAAATGTTTGTCTATAAAACCGATATCCCTAGGTAGCATTTTAGTAGTAGAAACACCTGTTAAATATATATTAATGTTAGGTGTAGCATACAAATCCTGTAAATTAAAAATAACAAATAAAGAATTAGCCGTAGATCTCTTACTTCTAGATTTTCAATGATTTGATATCATTTTGGGCTTGGATTAGTTAGCAGCGTACCATACGAACTCAGACTATTTCCATAAGAAAGTAACTTTCCACCTCCTAATGATAAACCTTTCTCTTTGTAAAAAAAAATATTGTAATTAATAAAATTTTAAATTTTCGTAAGAATTGCATCTTTATTTTATGCCTTCCTAAATTCATAATTTTATGATAAATTGTGTAATTCTAATATTCTTGTTATTCTTGTTTTATGTGAATAGGCAAAATGAATACCAAAAATAACATCTAAAATTTACTAATTGTGAGGGATTTTCTAGACATATTTCCCGATGAACTTCTAGGTATGCCTTTAGAAAGAGAAAGTTTGAGTTCTTCATTGACTTGTTGTCGGAGATTGCTCATATTTCCAAGACTCCATACATAATGGGTCGTACAGAACTTCAAGAATTAGGTAATTAGTTAGTTACAGGAGCTTCTAAATAAAGGTTTCATCAGGCCAAACACATCTCCATGGGGTGCTCTAGTACTGTTTGTTAAGAAAACAGACGGAATATTCAAGTTGTGTATTGACTACAGAGATTTGAACAAGGTGACCATGAAAAACAAGTATCCCTTACCAAGCATTCATGATTTGTTTGATTAGTTGCAAGGTGTCTTAGTTTTCTCTAAGATTAATCTTCGGTCAGGCTATCATCAGTTACAGATCAAGGCTAATGATATTCTAAAGACAACATTCAGATCTATGTATGGTTACTATGAATCTCTTGTTATATCATTTGAATTGACCAATACTCCTGCAGTCTTTATGGATCTTATGAACAGAGTTTTTAAGGTGATATTGAATAAGTTTCGTCGTCTTCCTTGATGATGTACTTGTGTATTCTAAAAGCTTAGTAGAACATGTCACACATTTGATATATCTCCTGAAAATTCTCAGATAGAATTAATTGTATGCTAAGTTCAGCAAGTGTGAGTCTTAGTTGGACAAGATTACTTTTCTTGGGCGTATTGTTTATGGTGGAGGAATATATGTTGATCCCTTTAAGGTTATAGCAATATTTAATTGGAACCAGCTAACTAATATGTCAGAGGTCTGTAGGTTTTTGGGTCTTGCTAGATAACCTTGGTAATGGTGCTTATTTTGTTCATCTTCGAATTCAGTCTACTCTTATTCAAAAAATTAGAGATGCTCTGTGACATCCCAGGTGCTAATTAAGGCAATTGGGTTTCAGATACATATTCAAAATGACGAGTGCATGATAATATTTATGCAGCGGAATCAAGACCTTAACAAATTCCTTATAGATATATATATATATATATATTTCCAAACATATACATCACTAAGGCCAGAAGTGGCTACAAAATACAACATATAAGGGCCACATCTTTCACTATACTACTGGAATTCATCAAAGTGTGGGAACATACATGCATTCCAGACTTGTAGATCCACAGGATCCTCATAGACTTCCAATGGTGGTTTACCTGAGGTTCCTCATTTTCTTCCTCATCTGAGACAGTAAAATGGAAAGGTTAGTTCCATATGCTCACTAAGGAAAACAGTACTAAATTAATATCGTAAAATTTCAAAAGTTTATTATTTTATCTTACTA